GCGTTGGATCAAAAATAATTCATTAAGGACATGATCGTCATCTTACCAATCTCATTTAATCTTTAATTTTTTGTGCTATTTAACATATTAATATAAATGTCTAAAAATTATATCATAAATCAAATTTTCATATTTTTTTTAAAAAAATAGTATTTTTCGTTTTTTTTTAAAATGCAGGTTTTTTAATTTTTTTTATAGAAAACATGAAAACTGCAATTTAAAATGCAGGTTTATAAAAAAAAATGCAATTTTTTTTAAAGAAAACTGCATTTTTTTCAAAAATAACTGCAATTTTTTAAAAAAAACTGTATTTTTAAATAAAAAAACTGCAATTTTTTCAAAAAAACTGTAAGTTTTTTTAAAGAAAGTTACATTTTTTTTCAGAAAAAACTGTATTTAACAAAAAAACTACAATTTTTTTTTAAAAAAACTGCATTATTTTTTTAAAAAAGTAAATTTTTAGGTACATATATGCATATTTCTTATACTATAATATTCGTAAGTAAATCACAACAAATCTCATATTTATTAATTAATCTATAAACATAATAGTACAAGTATTTTATTCGATACAAAATAAAATATAAAAAATAAAAAAATACTACAAATTTTAAAGCGTTTTCATGTCTTCGTGTTAATATTTCCATATTTTCTTCAATTTATCATTTTCCACCTCTTCAATATTCACCACAATTTCTTCCAAATCTACAAGAAAATTAAAAAGAAATTGATTGATGCAAAAACATTCACAAAAATACATATGTGATTTACATGTGAATCACATGTAATTCATATCTGATTTACATGTGTATCACATGTAATTCATATGTGAATTACATGTGAATCACATGTAGTTCATATGTGATTTACATGTGAATCACATGTAATTTATATGTGATTTACATGTGAATCACATGATAATCACATGTAATTCATATGTAAATTACAATTCATATGTGAACTACATGTGAATCACATGTAATTCATATGTGAATTACATGTGAATCACGTGCAATTCATATGTGATTTACATGTGAATCACATGTAATTCATATGTGAATTACATGTGATTTACATGTGAATCACATGTAATTCATATGTGAATTACATGTGATTTACGTGTGAATCATATGTAATTTACATGTGAATCACATGTAATTCACATATGAATTACATGTGATTTACATGTGAATCACATGTAATTACAACGTTAAACTTTTTATAAATTTAACTAAGTAAAAAAGAAGCAACCATAGTTGTCCAGATTATAAGTCTTGAACTTATTATACAATGTTCTCTTCCAATCTCTCTCATATGGCTTAACATGAAGACAATCTTGTTATTGTGTGGACAAGATGAGGACAAATTTATAAAAAGTTAGGGACTTAATGGGAATTGGTAAAGACTCATTCGCCTCAAGTTTCATATTAAGTTATTCTTTATGCATTAAGTCAAACCAACCTGTAAGAACTCGACAATTACGGATTCCAGTTCAAACAGATATCCATTCATCATTTGTGTCAACAATGTTAGAAAGATCATCATTAGAAACTTCAAGAATAGGTACAACAGTACCACATCCAACTAACTTGCAACCCTTTCCAACTACCCTGAAAAGAAAAGGAGAACATGGCGATTATAGGCGAATTTCAGTTGCACAATCTAATATTGAATATGCATAAGCTTTTGATTGGGAAATCAATAAACAATAAACAAACATGCATTGCTTTCTTCTAAATGCACTTCAGTCTTAGGCATCAATAAACACATAGTAAGAAAAAAAACTGACCAAATTTACCAATCACCTCATCTGTGATAAAGCACCCACAAGCTGTGCAACTAGGTCTAGAAAGAGCCCCCTCAAATTAGCCAACAAAGGATATTCAACCTGACTTACAACCCTGTAATGAGAAAATTTATCAAATAAACACAACACCACATTACATAATTCTAATTATGCCACTTGAAATCAATGAGCATATCAACTAGATATCTTCAAGTTTCTGAAGATAACTTGCCCCTTACCTGTCAGCATTGATCAACCAATCAAATACAAAATGTTCAAGCCCACTCCATAGTTTTTCTGCAATTACAATAAGCATATCCTGTTTTAGAACAAAATGACCTCACTTACAAGGATTAAGGATAGACTAATGGTGGAACAGCCAAACCTTTTTCTGAAATTCAACATTGATTCTTTTATCATCTGCATTAGCTAACTGAGCAGCAAAGATGAAATCTACAAGTTCGTTCACAGGAGCATCTTCACCTATTAAGAATCACGAGAAGAAAAACAAATTGGTAAAATATATTTTGTATGATTTAAAATAAATACAAATTACAATACCAAGTTTGTTTATTGCAAACTTGACTTCCTCAATAGTGAAGTTCATCATTAGTAAGGAAGCCTTTTTGTCATCAATGCCGTTGCAGCCTTCATCAAGATCCTGCATAGTAAGTATTTTTAGCAGATGGATAACAAACTCTGATGAAGATAAAAGTCTAAAACTAACAGATATAATGGACTTGTAGGTCATGTAAACAATAGTAATAATAATCCTAAAAACTATAAATACTATCTACAAGTGAAGGTCCCAATCTATACATCTGAATCCATGAAAATAAAGGATGATGATCTTACTGTGATCCCAATTATTTGCATTAATAAAGTCAATTTCACTAAAAATATAACAAATTCTCCATAAATCTCTAAAGAAATGTTCCTACATACACCTCAAGCTGAACTATTTTAGATGAAACTGAAAAAAAAAATACAAATGAAGGATTATAAGAGAGAATGCTAACCAAATTTCTTGACTGGCAAAGATGAAGCATATAATGTCTAGCAAAATTGCTGAAAAATAATAGAGCTGTATAAGTTCTCCCGAGACACTCTCTTCCAACTAATCAACATCTATTTCATCAGTTAACATTGTATCAATGTCATAAGCGTTAACCTTCATTTGCAGATGAAAAATTCAAAAGGAAATATCATAAAATCATTATTCATATCATGTTTTTCAACCCTTAAACATAGCAAAAGCAAACACATAAGCATCTTTGATTTATAGTTTTTACAAGGTTTGTAAACAGTTTGATAATCAGATTCCTAATGGATCAGATACTTGAAAATGAAGAGAAAATTACGATCTTATTGAAAAATTGGAAACATTACCTTAGAATTTAGAATAGCACTGAGAACAGAACAAAGAGTTGCAACATATGCTTTGTATCGGAGTCGAGCTTCATTGAGAGCTCCATTGATTTTATCGAAGATAATATCTGAAATCTCGATTCTATCGTATCTTCCAAATATTTTTTTCCCTTCCATCGCCAACTCGTGTGTCGATTTCTAACTCGTGATGGTCGTGTTGCTAGTCTTGTATATTGATTTCGAATCTTAACACGAAATTGAAATTGTGGATCAGAAAACAATTGCAAACCCTAATTTTTGCAATTGACTGAAACAGGAAGAGGTGAGGCGACGATAGGAGGAGAGAGATTTCTCATCGTCGTGTTCTCTTTCAATCTCTCATCGATGTTATCCTGATCGAAGGAATCATCGTCGCAAAGGCGTAAAGACGTGTGTATGTGTGTGTGTTTATGTGTGTGAGGGAGAAAGAGAAGTGGGGGAGTGACGATGAAGAAGGCAATTAATCGATATGGTGACGATTACCGGAGGTTGCCATGACTTTCAGATGGTGGCATTGGATTTCATCAAACGATCAGCGATGAAGTTGACGTGATGAAGGTGTAGGGAGAGGGACGGGATGAAGAGAGAGAGAGAGAGAGAGAGAGAGAGAGAGAGAGAGAGAGATGTAGGGAGAGAGTCGACGTGATTAATCTGATAATGGGGTATCAATTACAGTTTCCCTAAATGCCCTTGATTTATTTTAATAAGATGCCCCCGTCCCTTTTTATTTTTAGGTATTTACAAAAATGCCACAAAACATCCTAACTCTTTATTATTTTAATCTAACGGTCATTGTTTAGTTCTCGGGTTCTCGGGAAACTTTGAGTTCTCAAATGATCCTTGCTCTATATATATATATATATATATATATATATATATATATATATATATATATATGCTAATTTTTTTTTAACAAACATGGTCCATGTGGTTTCTAAAAGTTACATGGTTGATCTTAAGCCATATAAAATTACCTTTTTGTCTTTTATTATTTCTTTTAACATTCTCTTTAACTAAATTTAACCTAATAAGAAAATAAAACAAAAAACACCCCACCCACCACACTTCACCCCCACCGTACCGGTACCCAAATTCACCAACCCCTTTTCATTCGTCTTTTCACCACCAAGAGCTCCTACTATTGGTAAAATCTTTTCACCACCGGCTATCTATCTTTATGCCTCCCTTCACCACCTACGATCTTCTGGTAGCAACATTTGGATTGCATGTATGCATATAAAGATCAAGAACATGGGTCTGGGTCTTTTTACTTTTGTATGTATCAAGACTAGGGGTGTATCTACGCATATTGTTTTGTGTCTGGTAGCAACCACCAAAAACAAAACAAAGCCCCCTATTTCTGAGTCAATTCAAGGTATGTATCATTTAATGGTGATGAAAACATTATAAAAGGCTAAATGCTTGAAGCATAAGGGAAGGAAAAAGTTGCCATAATATCTACTCTCGCTATATCATTTGAACATGTAAACCATGAAAAGGAAAAAAGACAACAAAAGTAGAGTTGGAATAGGTTGGGAATGGAGTTGGTTCAACTCGGAACTGCCCTAATCTAGAACCATGTCAACTTGTTATTAAATTAGCTTCATTTTAGTGTAAAGGGAGGATCCCCAACTAGAAATTAGCATCAACAAAGACAACCTTGATGACTTATTTTTTTTTTTTTTTTTTTTCAAAATGTTGGTTTAATATCTATATACTCTGATGAATTTTGTAAGGGATCTGTGGAATTTTTTAGCGCCTAAACACACATAGACATGCAACTAAACACACACATACATCTATCTGTCACTAATAAATAACATGTGACATTTTTGAAACATCACAAATCCAAAAAGCATGGAACGAATGTCATCTCTGACCCACCAATTAGAGTAATCAATTAGAAAAGACCCATCAATGAACTGACAGTAACGGAGGGTTTGGCGCTGCTAGATGGTGGTGCGATGGTTTAGTGTCGATGGGTTAAGGTTGTCTAAAACTGTCACCGATAGATGGTGGTGAGATAAGGGATTAATCATGTTAAGTTTATTAGTATTTTTTAATTAAAAGTAAATAAAAGAAAATATAAAAGAAATTTAAAATGGCAAAGAAGTCTTTTCATGTGTTCAAGGGACCACCATGAAAGTTTTAGAAACCACAGAGATCATACGTGTAACATAGAGACTACACTTGCCAATCTTGGAAACCACAATGACCATTTATGTAATTACACACACACACACACACACACACACACACATATATATATATATATATATATATATATATAATCACTTGCAGCATATAAACAAAAAAGTATTTGTATAGATAGATGTCACACCCTCGACCGGCAGCGGAATGACCGAGCTGTGCGACGTATGGATAATTGGATCGAGGCAAACATATATATTGAACAATACACAGAAATATAACACAAACGATACTTTTATTCGTTATAATTTATTCAGGGGTTACATTGTTTGGTAGATCAAGCATGCATCATAAACATAACTAGAAAATAAACAGATAGAAAAAAAAAAACTCCAACAAGCTTCGTTGACGACATCCTCCTCTATATGGCTATCGTCCTCACTCATCTTCCTGAGAATACATGTATTTTGAAAACGTCAATATAATATTGGTGAGTTCACAGGTTTTTATAGTTTTCCGCTTTATTCGATTGTTCTAATTAAGAATCCTTTTTTCTTTTAGAAAAACATTTATTTCATTGTTTAAGGTATTTTTACCAATCCTAACTTTAATAATTTCTAGTATATTTTACTAATTCTAATTTATTATAATATATTGTAGGATATTTTATTGATCATAGTGTATTATAATTTTAAACTACTCGAAGGCGTCCCTCTAAGTAGTTGACCACTTAAGGTTTTCGGTTTGTATTACCATAAGCCCCCATAATCGACATAGTAGACTAATAATTTCCCCGCACGAAGCTTCATCGAACGTCGAATAACGCTTGTATATATATATATATATATATATATATATATATATATATATATATATATATATATAAAGAAAGTTATACTATCGGGATTGTAGCTAGCAATCGTAGGTGGGGGTGTCAGCCCCGTATAGATCTATACATATCTTTCTGGCTCTCGCAAGATTAACGATTATAGGTTCGGGGTAGCCAAATTCAATCAAGGTTATTTGTTTTTTTTGGGCTTCATGAATTCGAACAATTCAAGTAAAGGCTCAAATCTCCTCAATTTCTTTCTTCCTAGCCCAAATCTCGGCCCAACCCACATTATGCATATAAACAAAAAAAATGAAGGATTTATTTGGCTTTGACACCTCATGTTTGCATGGTGGGTATCCATGCAAACATCACTTCAATTTTTCTCTTCCCCCTCTCCTTATTACCCTCGGCCGAAACCCCCATCACACCACCTCCATTTTTCTTCCAAACACCCTCAAACACTCTCAAGAACTTCTCTTCCTTCCTCTAGATTTTTCAAGATTTGTGGGTAATTCCAAGAAGGTTTTTCACCAATATCATCATCTTTGGTAAGTTCTCACTTGGATCTATGGTTTAGCTTCTTGATTTCTTCAAAAATCTCTTCTTAAACCATAACATCTCATGATTTATACATCTTTGCTTCATAGAGTTCGAAAATCCTTCTCAGGAAGTTTCCTAGGGCCGAGATCTACTCATTTTACCACCAAGAACCGAAAACATCAAGGCAAAGTGAGTTCATACCCCTTGTTTTTCGGTTTTACTTTGTTTTTTGGGGGAATACAAGTTGCTATGTGTTAGATCTATGTATTTGTGCATGTTTATGTGTGTTTTCTAAGTGTATGTTGTGATTGTGTAAAGAACTTTATAGATCTAGAAAATATTTGGAAACTACAACACCTTATACAACTTACTATAAGGATACATGTGCTAAACATGTGAAGATTCATAAGAAACTAAACAAAATCTTGAAAAAGGGCCATTTTTGACAAATAACCAAAAAGATGAGACTTTCTTGGCATTTACGGTTTTACAATGACTAAAGGAGTCATTTTTATAAAAGAAATGGGTTTTTACGATATCTTGGTGATTAAGGGGCCAAAAACGTAAATTTTTGCATAATGGGCCTTAAAAATGGGCTTTTCGGTTTTAGTGGGCCAAAGTTGTAAAAATTCTGATTTTTATGGATTAAATTGTTATTTTACACAAGTTTGAGGCTAAAATGTAAAACTTACGGTTTTATGGGTTGAAAATGTCAAATTATTTGGATTTGGGCTAAAAATGCAAATTTTTCCAAAACTTGGACCGAAAATGCCATTTTTATCAGAAATGGGCTGAAAATGTAAATCTTGGTAATAATGGGCCGAAAATAATATTTTATATATATTTGGACCAAAAATGTCAATTTCTATAAAAATGGGTCAAAAATAATATTTAATATATATTTGGGGCCATAAAAGTAAATTTCGTGATATTGGGCCTACTATATCCATTACATGTCTATTTGGGCCTTTGTGGCCCGTTTACATATTGTTGGACCTAATATGATTACCACATGTTAATTTGGGCCTTTGTGACCCATTAACATGCTTAATGGGCCCAATCTATGCATCACATGCTTAGTGGGCTATAGCTGCTCCCTTACATGTCTGTTGGGCCTTATACATTCATATACCTATTTTCTGGGCTTTGCAAATCTTAACTATATATACGAAAACGTTATACATAGCGTAATTCAATACTCGTGTGAAAACAATAAATGATCTAGTGAGACTTGTCGGTTGACACCTCTAGAGTGTATGATCGTAGCTTGTAGTTCTAACCAGAGTCTCCTGGAGGGAGAGTGAGAGTTTGTGTATAGATCTATACGGGGTGACTCCCCACACCTGAGCTGTTCGCTACAGCTAGACTAGGCCAGTCTAGGGTGACAAACCTTACCGTAAATCGAACCGGCGCCTAAGAACGCCACGACATGCGAACTCGTCAAAAATCAAGCATGGTTAAAACGGCTCACTTAGAAATCCTCTCCAACATAATTTTATAGAATACATATAAAATCTTGTGGATACAGAAGCATACATATACTGTAATTCGGTCTTAAGGTTGAGACCACAACACTTTTATAAACAGAAAATATCGGATTTTCTGGGGTAATAAC